TCTGTGGCTTCTGCCCTGGGAAACCAGCCTGCGAACATCTGGGTTTGGCACTGAGCCGCTGAACCAGCTGTAGGCTGAGGTTTAGGAGCTGCCTAAGTGTCCCCAGCAGCACCGAGCTCGTCCCTTAACACAATTAAACGGGGAAAGCTGTTCTCTAATTAAACCTCTGAACTTCTGCTGCCCCACCTAGAAACCTTTCCTGGGAAAAAAAAAAAAAAAAATCGCCCCGATACGAGCTCCAGTTCTTCAGTCCTTGTTGGTTTTGGGTTGTTTTCTTTCCAACGTAGCCTTGCGATGGCAGCTTGCCGTGCCGATGTGCCGCTTTCTCATTGCTGTGGGCTGGAAAGATGAAAAATAGTTCTGTGTGAGATGATTATTTTTTCTTTTTTTCACTGCTTAAACCTTGTTGCTCGCCTGTTCTGCTGTGGGGCTGGTGTCACCAAAACCTTCTGAATAAGGCCAGGATGGTTCGGGTTTTACAGTCGGGGAATAAAGCCAGGGCAGGATGATTCCCGTTTTTCCCGGGAAACGAATCTCCCAACCAGCCCGGCCTTTGACTCTTGCGTTGCCTGCTCTCGTGCCGGGATTACCGTCCTGCTCCCTGGTGCAAACAGGAAAAGTTGAATTATTCCCCTGAAATAGCGAGTATTAAATGACACCAAAATATGGTGCACGGTCTGCAAGCTGCCATCTGCCACAGGGAACGTGCGGCATTGAGCTGAGACTCTTCTAGCGAATATTTTTACCGGCTATCTATTCAGCTTTTCATTTTTAGGAATGTCCTTTGTGCCACAGAAGAAAAAAAAAATAAAATGGTGGTTTTGCCTTGAAAAAGCAATTGTGGAACGCCAAAACCTGGGACCGGGTCTGACCGGGCTGGGATTGCGCCTGATGCTCCGCTTTGCATCCCTCTTCTGGGAGTTAATAATCTCGTGGCGATTTAAAACACTCTTTTATAATTCAAATTACTGCGTTTGAGCATTACTGAATTTTCAGAACCACTTTCATGTTGAAGTTTCCTGTTAAAAGGCGGGGGGAACCATCCCCGAGCAGACCCTAGTTGACCAAACAAAACATTTTGGGTTGTCATCCCTGGTTTTAATCGCCCGGCGAGCACCAAACCCAAAGTTCCCAGCGCGGCGCTTGAACCTCAGCCTGTGCTGCGAGCAAACGCCACGAGTACTCCTAGGAGTAAGGCGCTAGGAAGGGTGAGGATGAAACAGCCCAGCTTCCCCCCCCTTCCCTCCCTCCCCACGGGTCTCTGCATTCCTCCTGCCGGCTTTTCTTCACAGCTGCCTCTAAAAATAAAGAAGGCACGCGGCCTCGCCGCCGGGCTTTATAAACCACACATCTCCGGTTTCTCCCTCGGTAAATGGGTGGGCATCCCCTCGGGTGGGATCCGACATCGACATCAGCTCCTCGTCGGTGTCCTACGAGGGTTTTGTTGGTTTGTTTGGGGTTTTTTTGGGTCCCTTCCCGTTTTTAACCTAAGTACGTATTTAACATGCCGTCAAAGTGGGAAGATGCGCGACTGGGTGCTTTCCCCCAAATTTTAACGAGAAAATGCTTTTCCCCTGAAGAATACAAAAGCTCGAATGGCCCCGAGAGCGAGCAAGCTGGCGTTTTCGGCAGCTAAACCGTACGTTGGCGTTGAGGACGAGCTGTCGGTGTGGTCAAATTGCTGGGACCTGGTAATAAACCCCTTGACTTGCTCGCTCTGGGGTTCAAATTCTCTGCCCGGTAGAACTAGAACCTTGTTTCCCTTAACTTTTGCTGGATTTTTCTACATTTCCTACAGAAAGATTGTAAGTAAAATAGATGAAGACAAAGACGGGTTTGTAACTGTGGAAGAACTGAAAGACTGGATTAAGTTTGCACAAAAGCGCTGGATATACGAGGATGTAGAGCGACAGTGGAAAGGGCACGACCTCAATGAGGACGGCCTCATTTCTTGGGAGGAATATAAAAATGCCACCTACGGCTACATCTTAGGTAGGTCTCTACTCTTGGGATACAAACTTTGCCGAGCCGGCGCTTGAAACTTGCTGTTTTGTTTTTGTAGAATGATTGTAGATAAGATAGACACGGATAAGGATGGGTTTGTGACGGAGGGGGAGCTGAAAGCCTGGATTAAGAAGGCCCAGAAGAAATACGTGTATGACAGTGTCGAACGCCAGTGGCAGGAGTTTGACATGAATCAAGATGGATTTATCTCCTGGGATGAGTACAGAAACGTGACATATGGCACTTACCTCGGTAAGGGGCAAGGTGTCCGATCCGGTGGTGGTCTCTAATCAATAAAGCAGAAGTGAGATGGAGCAGAGCGCTCGACTCATCCCCCCCCTCAAAGCCTCAGACTTAAAAAAAAACCCAATAAATCTCCCCCAAATTTACCTTGTGAAGGCATTAACGAAGGACAAGCTAAGGGGAAAAAAAAAAGGGGGGGGGGGAACCCCCAAAGGTGGAGTTTGCAATCAACACGCAACTTTAACTCTGCTTTATTGATGCGCTTCCTTGTGAAAATCGGCTCCAAGCTCGAGCGTGAGCAGCAGCGGGACTAAGGCACGTGGGGCGATGGGTTCTTTTTGCCTTCTGGCTTCGGAATTTCAAGCTGCTGGTGGCGTTCAGTGCCTGTCGACGCCACGTTTTTCTGGGTGCCCGCACCCCGCGCCCTTCCTAAATCTGTGAAATTCGTTAGCAAAGAGTCTTTTAATGACTTCCCAAAGCCCCATGCGCTCATCTCGCTCTCTCCACTCGTCCTGGCAGTAGCGTTAGACCCTGGAGCTCGTCGATTTGTGTATTTTTTTTGGCACGTAAAGACGGGTCAGCGGGACTTAAACCACCCCGAGGAGCGAGGTAAGAAGAAGCTCTTCTGGGGTTAAGACGTTAGAAAAATACCAGTTCTCCTGCCAGTCGTTCCCGCCTCCTGGAGCGCGGACATATATGGTACGATGAGCTACGGCTCGAAAGCACGAAATAAAGTTTTTAATTTAGTAAATATTTCCAAAGATAGTCAAATGCTCCGCAGGACGTATGGAGGCTGCTGCCTCTCGCTTCTGGCGAATCCCTCTTCCCTCGGGCTGTTTCGCCGCTTCTTTTTA